TATTTTTTTAAATTATTGTTGATTCCCAAGACCTGATCAAACTTCCATTATAGTCAACAGCATTTCTGAATTGATTTTTTGTGGAAGAGCAGACCTCTAAAATGTTTGCTCTTTGTGGTGAAATATATGGCTTAAATAAAACAAAGAGGATTCCTTTGTGTTTATTACTCAAAGTTCAAGGGGCATTTGGGGTGAGAGATTGGATGCAGGGAGCTGGCTGACTCAGGGGACTGGTAAAGCAAGAATTAGCCTTTAATGTCTATTGAGGCTGAATTCAGGTTAGGTCAGTTGTTACTAAAGGTCATTTGACCATATGAAGGCTTTTGGGTGGCCTAGGTGAAATGACTTAGAGTCATAAGGTTGGAAGGGATCTCAAGGGTCATCTAGTCCAACCCCACAATTAATCCATTGAGTCTTTTTTGGTTCCTAATAGACTACTGCCCCATGTATTGATGTGCAGGAGGGAAAAAAAAATCACCGAAAGCACTAAATGCCATTTTAATTGACACATTCAGCAGAGACCAGAGACAAATGGAACAAGGAAGCACACTAATTTGTAGGGATGGTTTTTATTTTTCTGGCTGGAAGTTCATGAACAGGACAGCCTAATGAAGCACATGCTCCATCTTTGCTGCAGCTAGTGCAAATGCACTAAGAGAGAAGTCAGCCTCAGGTTGCCAAATGTTAGGGTTTTATATTGGGTGCTTTTTCCTGTAGTATCCACATGCACGTGATAATGCTATTCTGAGAACCTACTGAATGGCAGCCATTAGAAGATGACCTCCCCACGCAGAGCGTAGCAAATGCCATGTAGATGATGTCATTTATAAAAGCTTGATTCCCTGTGCTATCTTTGGTTTTACTGATGTTGAATTGCATAGTGTTACTTCTTCTTTGTGAGTCAGGCTATGAGAGACATTTATCCTAGTTTCAGCTCTTTCGTACAACCACCGGCAAAATTTTCTGTCACCACATAGCTGATGAAAGTCTAGGTTGCTCCTCCTTCAAATCAACTCACAGACCATTAACAGAAGACAAACATGTCAAGAAGATTGAATTCAGGAAGGCCTATATGATTCAGAGCCCAAGGATGCAGGGAGGGCTGTAAGTGGACGGAAAACTTATGGGCCTTATAAGGGTTTTATACAACAAGGACTTGGAACCTTATAGCTGTATTTTGTGAAGAAGTGCCTTAATCCAGCGTTTACTAATGATGTCCTTTTTTTGTGTTGACCACATCTTGTCCTATTTCTTACCTATATATATATATATATATATATATATACTTGAGACGTAACCAAAACCATTCAAGAACTGTAGTTCCTATCATCTTCTCAACTCTCGGGGCTCAAATCTCTACTGGCGTGTACCTGGTTTACACATTTATGCTTGTGCAAAGTTGGGATAAAATCTTACCAGATCAAAATCCTTGTGCTTTACACCTGCTTTGTCTTGCACAGGTACAAATAATATTGCAGGGTATAATGCAACGAAGAATCCAGCTGTGTAGTTTTTAGCCAAGCTGTTAACAAGTAAGTGGTATGGTCTTCTCTCAACATGGCTTGGATTATTACCTAACCTGGTTAATTACTGTGGCAGCTAAATATGGGTCTCTTTTGCCATTAGGCTACTCTTCTATATGGTTGCCTTCCATATAATCAGGTTGTAATGGTATTAGTTTACTATACAGATTGGATCTCCTCTCCGACTCTCTATATTCAGATGGACAAAGTGTCTCTAGTATCCTCTTGTGGTAGTCTGTCTGAGGGATGTCCTGCCCTCTTCAGGATGGGCTAATGGGGCAGATTTTCCCAGAATGCATTGAAAGAAACATAAAGTGAAGTTAGACCATGAAGAAAAAAAGGGTTTCTTACAAAAGTATGGTTGCAGGGTCCAATTCTCCTCTCGCAGGGCATGTCTACACGTTCATTAATGCGCAGTAGTTACTGCACATTTAGTTTAGTAATTATTTAATGAAGTCTGTACCAACTAAATATGCAGTAATGCTGGCTCATGGTCTTGTGTGATGTTTACTGCACGGTAGTCTAATAACATTGTGCAATAGCGTATTAGCATGGTTTTAGAGCATCACAGTATTGCACAGTGTTATTAGGTGACTGTGAAGTAAGCGTATCATATAGATGTGTCCCCAGTCAATTATTTTACCTTGGTCTTAACTCCAATGGAGTTACTCCATATTTACCCTGGCTTAAGTAAGGAGAGAACAAGAGCCAAAGTGAATAGACCAGCTTACAAAGCATGACCAAGACCACTTTAGTTAGCTCACGAGTTGCTTCAAATTTTCCTATTTCCCAGGCCTCTCCTATGATCAGAGAGTGTTTGTTCCATAGTTTGCATCCAGGTTACCTTCTGCCCCCAAACTAAGTCCTGCCAGCATTAGAAATAAGCCTCAATCCAGCATTATTGAAAAAAAAACCCCATGGATGACATGCCTGTTATTTCAGGCATTTCACAGCCAGCTTCCTTTTCTGTGGGTTTAATTTTGCTGCCAATGTTTTATTTGCTTTAATGCTCTGGCAAAGCAGTATTGAGAGGCATACTTAATCTCTCTCTGCCATTTAACTTAACACCAGTCACTGAAGTGCCTCACAGTCTTCTCTCCTGTAAGTGGGTGTTGCTATCATTCCCATGTTATAGAAGGGGAGCTGAAGTTACAGAGAAACTGAGGTCCATATGCTCACAGAAATTGAGTGCATCTACATGTGGCCGTATGGTGCCATTACTGCTCCCATCATTTAGTACTTCCTTTTGGAAGTACTAAAAGATGGTACAGTAACAGTCCATACTGCACCATACTGGTGGTGCACGGTTTTTTTTCACTGCTACATCACTGTAGCAAGCGCTATAGCAAGGGAGTGCATAGCTACGGTGGTGTAGTGGCAGCATCATGGTTTTTCCCAATGGACGCTACGGTGCTGTAGCATCTTGTGTAGATACGCCCATTGAGCACCTCACTCCATAAGGATCTGGGCTTAAGGGACTTGCTAGACCTCCACCATTGCACCATTCTCCCTTCCCAAATAGAAACCCATCCCACCACAGCAAAAGTGGAAGACTCAGCTCCATCATGTCAATCAGTGGAATTTCCATATTGTGGTTCTTTGGGTAAATCTGATACCTTTTATTAAAGATAAATCAAAAGATATCAGATTTACCCAAAGAATCTTGTCTGCTTATGTCCTTAGACCACCACGGCTACAACCTATACCCCCATATTGTAGTTCTGCACTTGAGGTTGGCTTGGACCAATAAGGGATCGAATTGTGAATAGCCTTTAGGAGACAAGGTGATGCTGAAGAGCAGGGCTGTAGCACTTGGTTTCTAAATAATCCAGCATGAGAAAAACTTCGTGGAATCCATTCAGTTTTAATTATGGAAGCCTCATTCAGCCTACTAGCATAGGCTGCTAATGCCTTCCAGTGCATTAGCCCGATACCAAATAGTAATTATCAGACAGTTTCAAGTATTTTGATTATTCAGACTAATTTATTGAATACTGAAATGTAATGAACTTAAGCCTATTTAATTATGCTTTGTTGCACTGGGAGATGGGAGGGGAGGTAGGAGAGGATGGTTCTCATGATTGAAAAGGACAAAGACTTGTTTAAGGATAACATAAGGAAATTACAGTATGGCCTGGACTCCCCTTGTGGGGCTGAGGTACACGTGGGGAAGATAACAGAGCGTTCCTGAATGGATAGCTGGGAAGTGGTCCTGTTTAAGCACCTGAGAAGAGTCAGGTAGGCTGAGAGCCTTCCATTTTCCCCTTGATGCACAAATGTTAAGGTCAAAAGATACCCCCATATCAGTGCTGTAACCTGCATCTCTAGGAAATAAGGAGCTGTCTGATTTGAAGAATCAGAGATGCTTCTTCTGCATTAGCTTTTTACCCAGAATTTGAGACGGATTGAGACCAGAGAGGGGAAGGAGTTCTCTGTCTTTACCTATTGATGAACAGAGGGATGGATGATAACAGTAATCACTTCCTTTGCATAATCTTTCTACCCAGGTGTCCTTCTGTGACACTATGGGCGTCAATGTAAGAGATCTGAAACTCAGGATTAGTTAGTAAAACTGATTTGAGGGGAATCATATAAAATCAGGTGTGGAAGGGACTTGAGGTGGTAATCTAATTTCAGAGCCATAGCTATTAAGTTAGGCACTCTGTGCAAAACTTCCTGGGGGCAGGGAGAAGAGCTGAGCACCAGAGAGTACAAGGAGGGGAAGAGGGAGGAAAGTAGTCAGTCTCACCTGCTAAAGCTCCTGTGACGAGGTGGCATGGGTCTTCTTCCTTGGCTCTGCACCCAGAACCTACATTTGGGTGGCATGGGAGTGTGTCAGGCTGGCTCCCATAGCTGGGTAGTGTGGGGGTGCTCCTGACATAGTAAGGACTTGGGGGGAATGCCAGTTTGGTGCCCCTCTAGAGCTGGTGCTCCAGTTATGGTACTATCTAATCCAATAGTTTTACCACCTCATTTCTGGATTTGGGCCAGGGAGATAAGAGCAAGTGGATAAGGTCTGCTCATTAGCCGTGCAGAGAATGCAGGGGATGTGGTGTAGACATGGTCTTAGATTCCAGGAAGATACAAAAAGACAGTAAATACATATGGGTTAGAGTCTAGTTTATGATCACAGATATCCCATTGTAAATCTAGAGCAACTCACGAGTGTCATCCCATGGAAGTCAAGAAAGCTAATGTGGGCTTGATGACCTACATAAGATCAAGATTGAGCGTATCGTGCATTTTTTTTCTTAGCTAAGTGTCAAGAGACCTTCAGTGTTCACAAATATAAATGAACGTACTGTTTAAAAAAAATACTAAAAGAAAATTGTGGAAAAGGATCTACCATTGCCCTAAGTTTTGGGAAAAGTTTTTCCATTAGAAATTTGAGTCATTACTGGAAAATGTAACATCAGGGAGTATTAAAGACTCACTTTTGAACATTTTAGTTGTCTATAACCCATTCTCTGTATTCAGTTACAGGTGAAGACCTAATTCAAGTGACATTCAAGGAGGAGGAAAGGGTCTCTATACCTGCACCAGGTGTGTATCAGTTTTACTTAAAGAGTCACAGCAATTCTTTTCCCTAGGTTTCCAGAAATGCAGTATTAAAGATCACCTCTATGGTTTTCACATCTAGTAACCCACGAGGGGCTGTAGGTATTTATTTAAATCAGGGGCGGGCAGTTATTTCAGGTGGAGGGCTGCTTACCCAGTTTTGGCAAGCTGTCGAGGGCCACATGGGTAGCCCTGCCCCTTGGCAGGTGCCCCACACCCTGGCCACCATCTTGGGACCAATGCCTTAGGGCCAGCACTGGTGGGGCCCAGAGCAGAGCACAGGCTGGCACGGGTCTGGGGAGCTGGGCTGGGCTGCACCAGCAGGGACAGGGGGGAGCTGGCCTGGCTCCATAGAGTCCCTACCAGCCAGGACCCTGTACCCCTGTGACCTGCTCTGGGCCCTGCTGGTGCTGGCCCCAGGACACCAGTGTGGGCCCCGCGCTCCCACTGACTCCCGCACCCTCTCACTCCTAGTGCCCCCATGGCCCCGCGGTACAGGTGGGGGGGCAGCATGCAGCTCCAACCCCCAGCTTGCTAGCAGGGAAGGAGCTGGTGCGGAGCGTGGGGAAAAGTGGCCCACGCTCAGCACCAGCTTATAACCCACCCCTGCTGCCAGCCTGGGCCCTGTGCTGGCTCTGGACTCTCCCGTTGGGGCTGTGCCACAGCGGTAGCAGCTTCTCGGCGTGGAGGAAAGCGGCTCCCATGCTTGCTACGCCTGGCAGTGTTTGCCACCACTGCCTCTGTGCTGCCCAGCGTGCGAGCTCCGGGCGGGCAGCAGCAGCACCAATCTTCCTGGTGCTGGGTGCAGGCTGAGCCCAGCAGTGGTCCCAGGCGGCAAGGGCAGCCTCCTGTCATCCGGTGCGCAGCATCCGTCAGGCAGAGTGGGGGCCTGCCTGCACCCCTGGGAGGGCTGCTGGGATGTGCCAGACTCCTCCCAGAGGTGCAGGCCCCCAATCTGCCTGCTGGATGACAGGAGGCTGCTCCTGACACCTGGGACGGCACTGGGCACAGCCTGCACCCAGCACCGGGAAGATTGATGCTGGCACTGACCCCAGCTGGCAGCAACAGCATGCTGGCAGAGTGGGGGCCTGCCTGCACCCCTGGGAGGGCTGCTGGGATGTGCCAGACTCCTCCCAGAGGTGCAGGCCCCCAATCTGCCTGCTGGATGACAGGAGGCTGCTCCTGACACCTGGGACGGCACTGGGCACAGCCTGCACCCAGCACCGGGAAGATTGATGCTGGCACTGACCCCAGCTGGCAGCAACAGCATGCTGTCATCCGGTGCACAGATCCAGGGGTCCGCACCACCCAGGAGGGCTGGGGCTGTGCCACAATCTTCCTGGGGGGCGCGACCCCCAGATCTGCGCGGGGTGACAGGAGGCTGCTGCCACCAGCTGGGATTGGCGCTGAAGCCAAGCCCAGCTTCGAAACTGGAAATGTTTCAAAACTTTCAAAACATTTCAAGTGCCCTTGTTTCATTTTGAAGCTGCTTCGAACGCTTTTGTTTCATTTCGATTTCGTTGTTTCGAGGTCGAAACGTATCGGAACAGCTTCAAAATGAAACCCCTGGCGAAATTTCGCACAGGCCTATAAGAGACTATAAACTCTTGTTAAGAAATACCATATTGGATCCCAGAGTCATGGAGACTGTAAGTCTAAGGTATGTTTTTGTTCTAAATAGGGACCTTAGTTGTAATAGTATGACTTTATTATGCAGTTACACATTGGGCCAGACAGCCTGCCATACTGAAGAGCACAACCAGAAGCCAGGAAGACCTTGAGCGTTCTGATTTTGGATTGGGCTCTGGTTTGCCACATTATCCATTAATATGAAAAACAACATCAAACTGTGTTGCAGTTGGGTTTGGGGCTCCATTGCATAAGGTGCTGAACACCTGTACAACAGCAAGGCCTAGAACAAAAGAGCTGACATGCTAAAATTGAATGCAACTTCCTTGGGCTTTATTTTCCTCGTGGTGGAATAGGGTTAATGCTTTTCTCACAGGATTCATCATTTTGTTAATTAGTTTGCATTATATTTAGAAGCCTCAGTCTAGATTGGATGAAAACGGTCTGTATTGTGGGTGACATGAGTTGGGCCCTCGATTTGAACAGAGACAGAATTTCACCGCGGGCTACAGTAGTGGTGCTCAACCTCTGGCCTATGGGCCAGATATGGCCCATGAAGCTGCTGTGAATGGCCCATCACTGGCATGTCAATGCAGGTGAATGCTCCTATTATTCATCCCCCGGCCTTTCCTCTGCTCCAGAGCAGCATGAAAGCTGTGGCTATATCTAGACCCTGCACTGACATACCAGCGAGCTCAGAGTTTTCATGGAGCTCTGGAGCCCAAAAGCTGAGCACTGCCACTGCTGCTCATCTTCTCATTTCAATATTGGGGGAGGAGAATGTAAATGGCAGCAGCACTCAGCTCCTGGGTGCCAGGGCCCTGTGAAAGCTTTGGCAGCTTGGAGTGGAGAGGCAATGGAAACCCACCTTTGGCAGCCCCCCACGCACATGGCTCTGGTGCAGCACAGGGCTGGCTACATCACCTGAAAACAAAAGACAGTTATATAAAAAGATAGTCATTTTAAAGAAAACCCAATGCTGTAGGGCAGAAAATGGTCCTACTCCCACTGCATTCCCAAAGCACATGGCTTTCTGTTCAGGAGACAGTGATGGGGCGCTGGGAAGCAGAGGTAAGGTATAGCGCTGCCAGATAGGCAATCTCCATCTCCATCCCCATCTCCCACGGGCCTCAGACCCAGCAGTCCTCCACCAACACTAAGAATCTGGAAATCAAGAACCTGGAAGCCAACCGGTTCTTTACAAGCTGAGCAAGCCTCAATCTCTGCTGCGGCACAGGGCATGGTTTCATTTGAAAGTTTAACAATTTTTTTGTAAAATGTAAAATAATACTAAAATTACTAAAAGTGTATGTTTTCCTTCCTAAGATTGTTTTAAAATCTTAATATTTGGATACACCCAAGCATAGAACTGCAATGCTTTTCTTTGCTCCCTCAATCCATGCTGATTTTAAGGTTTGAACCACTTGGGAGGGAAAAAAAGGTTGAACACTACTGGGATAGAGGGCCTTTCTCTTCCACTCAAGGGCAGACTGATCACCAAATGTGGGATGAGGCAGGAATTTGACCCCAGGGTCTGATTGGCATGGACAGTAGGGGCTTCTCCTTCCTCTGTAGAAGGGGGCATAGAAATCTTCCTTGGATTTCTTGAGCATATTTTAAAACTATTTCCTGTTCTTGCACTGGCAGGAATATTGTCAGTGCTCTTGTCCCCCTGCTTTACCTTTGGAGAATTAGGGTGATCTTTATGTTTACAGGCTTGTGTCTGGTAGTTGTGTTAGAGGATGTTCATGCAGTTGCAAATAGGCTAGATGGCTACTTCATAGGATGGTTTAGATAGGGATTTGCCCTGTCCTTAGGCTCCTGAGGTCCCATCCAGCCCTATTTTCTGATGAGTCTATGATTCTGTGTGCTGATTTCCATATAGCCCAAGTCTTTTGACTCTTAGGACATGTGGCAAAATCTAGCCACTACCCATGGTTTTATGGGGAGAAGGGTATGTAATAAGAGCTGGCGTTTGTTGGCAGGGTGCGCCCATTTGGTACATTCTGGTGCTTATAACTTGAGAGAGGTAATCGATTGCTATTTTGCAGTAACTTATTTGCAAAGCAATCTGAAGTAGTAGAGTATGGCAGTGCGACAGGAGAACTGCAAATTACTCAAAGATTTGATTTGGGAAAGTAACAAACAACGGGGCTGCCAAGAGGGTCTCAAAATCCTGGAAGCACTGTCTTTTCCACGCTAGTCCTAGTTCTTCTATACGGTTAGGAATACTGGTAGGGTGGTACGCTCATTATTTAACCATTTTAAATTTATAATAGGGTGATAATACTTGAGGCGTGTGACTATCAAAGAAATGCCGGACCTCTCAAATCTCATATCAATCATTCTATGTGTGTCCTTTTCTTCCAGCTCCTTCCGATGGCATTTTGAAATGGTCAATGCCTGAATCATGGAGCGGTGTGGGCAGGGGCTGGGGTGGATACAATCACAGCATTCCCGCCCCTGGAGAAGACGTCATCATCTTGCCTAGTAAGTAAAAGAAAGGACAAATAGTCAATTGGTCCAAGGGCGTGACTATCCTGCCGAAGTCAGCTGTATTTTAGCAAGTCCTAATTAATGTGTGAATTCTCACATGTGCAGAAATACACTAGAACATTTGTTTCTGGCCAGTGCTTGATCCGAGGCTGCGTCATAAGTCGGTGAGGTCTGAAACAAAGACGGTTCTCATTCTCACTTTCTTCTTTCACACAGAGCATTGGCTTGCCAGCAGACTATGCACGCCCAGTTACATGGGGGGAGGTTATCCTGGAGGCCAAGCAGCAGTAATTGCAGATTTGCCATATCAAAGCGAACGAGGAATGTATCTTTCCACTTACCTGGTGGCGTTTGCTGGGGGCTATATTTTGCCTATGTTTCCAAGCCTAGACTGGCTTCCCTTTTGCCTTTGTGTTGCTTGTCTATGTGTCGATTTTAATTTCTAAATTCATTTGCAGTTTGGGTTGGGAGTCTAGCTTTGTCTTTGGCTTTTACTTTACCAGCGCAGAGAAGCTGAAAGATAGTCTCTGACATGTCTCTGAGGAGGTCCACGTTCAAATCCCTGTACAGTCAAGAATCTGTGGCTGGAGACAGAAGTTACACATAAACTGGTTTAAGTCATCAGAAACTGGTTTCAACTTGTACCAGAACAGAAGTTCAGTGTACATAAACCAGTTTCAAAATGCCTGAAACTGGATTAGATGAACCTGGTTGAATGCAGTATCCAACTTAACTGATTTGGGTCAAACCGGTTTATGAAACTTCTGTCCCAGGCCTGTGTGAGGCTGGGTCAATCTGTGTCCTGTCAATGCAAATGCTATATAACAGTAATAACAGCATTCAAGCTGTCAGCCCCTGGAGTTGTATATCCTGAGAAGCTGGGTGCTGGGCAGTCACAGTAAAATGTCCTTTGAATTCAGCCCACACTAACCTGTGCTGACAAAGCCTCAGATGACTTATCTTCCCTGTCTCTTTATTCCAACCTCCAAGGAGCTTGCTTTGGCTTTCTGGTTTTGTGGTCTGGGTTCTTGTTGGTGCCCGTTTTAATATCAAACAAGTTAAGATGATCAGTCTTGTATTTGTTTTTATACTCTGAAATGTTGTATAGAAACTGCTTGTAGATAAGGAATACTTCAACCAACTCCTCTGTTCCCCTAATAACAAACTGAATTCAAGACAGAACTGTACTTTCTGGTGATTACTGGGGCTGAGGAAATACGTAGCCCCTCTTGGAATACCCTACACAGAGCTCCGGCACATAAGCAATTAGGATGAGAGCTATGAGATTTTTTTTGGTTTGTTTGTTTGGAAAACTTTTTGCTTTTGTGCCAAAATATGCCATTTTAAGGTAGAATCATAGACTCATAAGGCTGGAAGGGACCCTGAAGGATCATTGGGTCCAGCCCCCTGCATGAGCAGGAAAGACATCTGAGGTCGGACGAGCCCAGCCAGGTGACCGTCCAGTCTTCTCTAGGGTAGACGATTGCACCACCTCTGGGGGGAGCTTGTTCCATAGTCTGCACACCCTAGTTGTAAAGAAGTTTTTCCTAATGTTCAGCCTGAAACTATCTTCCAGGAGTTTGTGGCCATTGTTTCTAGTTTTCCCCCAGGGTGCCCTGGTGAACAGTTGTTCACCGAGCCCCTGATGTACACCTCTGATATAGCGGTAAGCCGCAATCAGGTCCCCCCTCAGCCTTCTTTTCTTTAGGCTGAGATCCCTCAGCCTCTCTATGTATGGCTTGCCATGCAAGTCCTTGATCATATGGGTGGGCCTTCTCTGGACCCTCTCCAGCTTTAGCATGTCCCTGTTGAATTGCGGCGCCCAGAACTGGTCGCAATACTCCAGCTGCCGCCACACCAATGTTGAGTAAAGTGGGAGAATCACCTCTTTGGATTTACTGGAGAGGCACTGATTGATACATGCCAGAGTTTTATTGGCCCTAGCGGCTACTGCATTGCATTAGCAGCTCATATTCATGCTGGGGTCTATTGTTATCCCCAGATCCCTCTCATTTGTAGTGCAGGTCAGGTTAGCGATGCCCAGCCTGTAGGTGTGCTGTGGGGGGTCTTCCTTCCCAGATGTAGCGCTTTGCATTTCTCTACGTTGAACCTCATTGGGTTCCCTTCTGCCCAACATGCCAGCCCATCTAGGCCTGCTTTATCTGCAGCCTATCTGCGGGTGCGTCCGCATAACCCCATATCTCAGTGTCGTCCGCGAACTTGGCCAATGTGATCAAAACATTGTATACATTTATTTTTTATTTTAAAAAGTTGGTTCTGTAGGATGAGGAAGACCTATAAAAATAATTTAAAAAACAACCCTTTTCACAATTTCAAGATAAAACGTTTCAGGTTTTGATTAAAGATGCATTTAATTTTAAGTTATTTCACTTTTTATTTTTATTAAAATCTTCCAAAAATGGCACTTTTTTTTCAAGTCAGTGGAATTTGCTTTGTCTGAAATATTACCATTTTTATTTTGGGCAATTTTAAAAAAAAAGATTCTTTCTGGGTCAAGTTGAATGTTTTTCCTCTCCTTGCCTCCCAGGTTCTTGGAACTTCCACTGAATTGAAAAATCAGGGATTTAATTCTCATTTATATACAGGAGGTATGCAAAGTTGCTCAGATCTGTACTCCAGTTGGCTGCAGTATGCATGCACAAAAGAACATGGGAAATGCCATTTACTGTATCAGGCCATAGGTCCATCTAGCCCAATATCCTGTCTCATGCTGGCAGAGATTGGATGGTTGCAGGGAAGGTAAAAAGGGCATGTCCAGGATTTTCCATCCCCTGCTCCTTCCTCTCCCACTGCATCTTCCAGCATGCAGAGATTTAGAAAATTCTGATTCAGAAGCTGCATCCCTTTTACCCACCCAATTGAACCATGTTTGATGCCTACATTGAAGTGTTTGAAAGATTTTGGCATAATTGATCCAAATAATATTCGGTTGGAGAATTATAGAATTCATAGAAGAGACCTCTGAAGGTCATCTAGTACAACCCTCTGCTCTAGGAAGGTCATCTCTGTCACTCAAACCATCCTATATAAGTCCTTATCTAACCTAATCCTAAAACTAAACAATCAACCCTGTTGCACAGTGAGAAGGCATATTCCAAAAGCACCTTAAACTGCCACAGGTAAACCCAGGAGAACAGGGATGTTCCCACCACTGCAAGGGTCATTAAAGTGCACTTGAGAGATCCAAGGAAGAGGGACATGCTTCCCACTACGGAGGAGGGCAACTCTTCCCACAATTTGTGCCAGTCTGACCATGGGGTAAAATTTCTTCCTGGCCCCAGATGTGGCAATTGGTCTGACCCTCAGTGTAGGGGCAAGACCCGCTAACCAGGAACCTCCAGGTTTTAGTCCCAGTGGGAGCACTGGTACACTCCAGTCAAAATCCCCAGTCTTGGCCATGGCCAACACCCTATGCTAATGAGAAAGGTGAAATTCTTCTCCCTCCCCTACCCCTTCTTCCCTCCCACCCAGCACTTGTATCAACAGGAGGGGAAAGACTTCTTCCTGGCCCCATGTAGCAACCAGCAAAGCCCAGAAGACTGGGCAAACCAAACACCTTCCATTCAGCTCTGCAACTTCAGGGCAGCAAGCGTAACTCCATCCACTGCACCCTATACCTGAACAGCCAGAGCTCCCCTTTCTGTATCCCCTCCATGGTCTTATCTCAGTTGCCTTAACCTTATTTCATGACTAAGCTGGTTGTGGGGCTCTACTTCATTCTCCTGCTGCTGACCATGGTCCTCTCCAATATCCACCTGCTCTCGGCTGTATAGCTTTTTATTTCCCAGTGATTGCTCATGTGCATGTGTCAGTAGGGGACCCCTGGGGTTCCCGCTGTTGCTCTTTACAAAGAAGTCCAGGCATAGCTACTCCTCGATCATCCTTTCCCAGTACTTCCCCAGCCTCTTCCTGAAAACCTCCAGCGATGAAGATTTCACAACTTCCTTAGGTCACGTGATATTTTGTATGTAGCACTGAAATTCATCCCATTTCCATGGGATCTGATCTTTTCCTGTTATTTTGGTGTATTTGTCCTCACAACATCCCTCTGAGATAGGGAAGTGCCAGTTCTCAATTTTATGGAGGAAGCATTGAGGCACAGAGAGGCTAAATGACTTGACCAAGGTTGCAAGAGAACTACATGGCCAGATGTGTACCCCAGCAATTTATAACCCCAGCAATTTTATTGACCAGCAATAGGTCAGAGAATGGATTTTGAGCTGAGCTCCGGGGAACAGGGGGAGTCATGGAATGGGCTCATCACATTTCGTCTGCTGCTGCTGCTAAGGTGCGGGCTCATGCTGGTGCGTGGGCAGGCTCACTGCATGCTGGCTGCATTAGGACTTTCAGTGTGGGCTCTCCAGGGGCTGCCATTCTGTTTCCTCCTCTAAATCAGTGCTGGTGCCCCACTTGCCATCCCCTAGTATGGTCCAGTGTACAAAAAAAGCTTGAATCCAGATACCCCAAGTTGAGCCCAACCTGCTATTTCACTACAGCAGGTGAAATATTCCCATACCTTAGGTTTTCAACTCACTGTAGAGATGACTGATTTTTTTTTTCACATTGAAAACGGTGACTGAGAAACAGGGAAGCTATATTTGACCAGTATATATACCCCAGTACTTTTTCCTGCCATGGCAGGGGGTCGGACTTGATGATTGCTCAGGTCCCTTCTGACCCGACCAACTATGAAACTATGACCAAAGTTTTTGCAAATCCATTCTCTCCTGTTTTTCCTAAAGGCTTTACTACAGAAATCGCCACTGCAAAGATAAAAATTGGCACAATTGGTGTAAATCATGAGCTATTCATTTGAAATTCCCAAGGAGAAGCACGTTGGCCTTTTTCTATTTTGTGCTAAGTAGGTTCTTGTACCACTCTCCTCACAATAATATTTGAGTGCCTCCCAATCATGTGTTAAGCAATGTGACTAACTTCTTCTCATGTGTGGCTTATTTCATTCCCTCTCCCAT